AATCCATCCACGTCAAATATTGTCTTCTGGGCAAGCGAGGTGACTAGGCCTTTCTCAACGGCTTCCGAAATAGCCAATTCCTCCGTAGTGATTGTATCTTTGTAGGTTGCTCTGTCAGGATCGATCAGTCCACGGTTTAACGCCTCGGATAACGTGACTACCTCGCCGGTTCTTGCGTCGACGATAGACTTCAGTCGATCTCCATCGAGGACGCCGCGTTCAATGGCCTCCGTTACGGTCAATTTGATTCTACGTGCGGGACTCGTAATCCTTCCACTCTCGTCTATTATCTCGGTATCACGGCAGTCTTTCAGCGTCATAGGTTTAACGATCAACCGCCGTCTGTGCGCTTCCTTTAGAGAAAGTTTCTCCATTGTAAGGCCATGCATATACTTGCCAGTTTTCGAATTGATTATTCCCGACTCGAGAGCCTGCAGCAGCGTCACTTTAACGTCGTTCCTTGCGTCTACGATCTCCCTGGCAGTTGGATCCAAGATTCCTTTCTGAACAGCCTCGTCGAGGGCGTAACTTTCTCCCGTGATCCGATCGAGAACACGACCAAGCGTCTCGTCCACTAAACCCTGGGTTATCGCGTCGGAAAGAGGCAACGCACTCCTCTTAACCGTGACGGTGACGTCTAGTTTCGCTAGGTATCCCCTCGCGTGAGCTTCTTCGACCGACAGCCTCTCACCGTCCTCCGTAACCAGTTCGCCCGTGTGTGGATCCAACGCGGAACCTTGTCCCATCGTGCCTACGTTGTCCCTCATCGCATCGGCTACACTAACCGCGTTCTCATCGGCCGGTGTACTCTCTCCGTAGTAAGTTACCTTCGCTCTATCTCCTGACCCGACACTCGGACCTAGCAGACGATCCGCGAGACGCGAGTCGATTATCTTCTGGCGGGCAGCTTCCTTGATCGTGACGGTCTCTTTACCGTCCCTCGAGCACACTATCCTACCCTTGCTAACATCCAAGATCCTAAAACTTATCGCCTCGCCCACCGTCAACAGCGCCCCGGTTCGTGGATCTACGATACACCTAGCCTCGATTACGTTCTCTGTACCTATATTCTCTTCCGCCCGCTCTATCCTCTTTAGACTCCTAATCTTTCTAAAATGCATGCTGCTGTCGCTAATACTGCTGGTTCTCGACCACGACGCCTCGTCCCTTTCGTCAATCCTCTTCTCATCCTCGTGTTTACGCGACATCTTTTCTCGATCGACCTCGAGCTCTCTCTCGGACTGCGTGGTCGTCGCTGTCGTCGCTGTCGTCGCTGTCGTCGCTGCATCCTGACCAAGGGACGCGCTTCGACTGTCAAGACGAGAGCTTTCCTGGGAACTGGAGCGCCGTATCGTGTCACTAGACACAATGGTCTCGCTTCTCTCGGTTCTTTCCGTCCGTTCTGTCCTTTCCTGTCGTTCCAAACTATATCTATAGTGGATGAAACAGAATCGCTTTAAATTACAGAAACAGCTCGATGCCATTGTCATTTCGCTTATGCAACTATACTCACTGCGACTGTGTGTAGTGCGTGGTCGTGGAAGTGTAACGTTCCTCGCAACTGCTGTTCTCGTAGATATTGAATTCTGTGCGGAACGTCCTTAGCGGCCTCTGCTCCTGAAGGGCGCGCTGAAACACGCATGGAATATGTAATAGATGTCTCTATGCAGCGTGAACAGACTATACATCGGCGGAATAAGCGCGACGAAAGTACGTGGCGTGGTTAGAAGGGCAGATCGATTCGAATATTACCGCGTTCACGACCCTCCTCCTATCGAGCGTCATAGCGTTCCGTTATCTCCGTCCGGTGTACGCAGATCGTCGCAAAAGATTAGAAACACAGCACGGGAACGGAGACTTTCGATCTGCGTGCTACGCCGCAGCTCGTCTAGAAACTGTGTCGCGTGTCAGGGCTGCGCGTCACTCTCGAATGCGTACTTTCGCAGAACATGTTAACGATAATGGTGGAGGAGATCGGGACACCGGTTTAATCACCGCGAGCACCTCCGGGGGACTGACTCAACTGTCTCGAGTTGGCAAGACGCCGGCCGTCTCGTAAACTCGAGAAACGAGGCATCTGCGCGTGAAAAAGCCAGATTCTTTTTTTAGAATCGCGACCGGCCGCTCTTTACCGGCAGAGAACGCGTAAGTCTCGACGGTTAACCACGCGGATTTCTTGTCCCTTTCCTTATGCTAATCAGAGCCGACGCGCGAGAAATTGACTCGCCCTAAATACTCGACGCATCTATCATGACGTATCGCCGTAGGAACGAAGCGTATCAATCCGGACCGAACGAGCGTAGAATTAAAAGGATCACGTAATCGATGAGTAACGTGCGAAAGACACGTGTCCCGACCGATCCCGTGCACGTGACAGGCGGAGAAAAATCTTTGCATTCGCGGAGAACGATCCCCTACTCTATCCCCTCCATCGATGATAATTCGCGAACTATCGCGACTGTCGACTGTCCCAGTTTTTCCACATGGAACCTCGTACCTTTCGTACGATTTTAACGGTTGGCATCGCGACCGTAGTACTCCTGGCGGCGTCCACGCGCATCTCGTACGAAAATTGAGAACGAGTCGGCCGTTAATTCCCGATGATAAACTAAAATACGCCCGACGACCGATCGCCGACGCCTCGAGACGTGTCTGCAACACCGCGCGAACGCAATAAACGAACGTTGACTAGCGCCAGCTGTGCGAGAACGTCTACTGTGCGCCGTCGCTTATTCGCACCTACAGGATCTCTCGGTAACACACGTTCGCGTTATCGATCGAGCGCGGAGGCGGCGGGAAGGATGAAACTTGGCCGCTAGTTGCGCATTATTCCGTCAGCGAACCAGTCTCGTTACGCGTGAGCGCCGTGTGGGCGTTCTCGCGGAGATTGGAGAAGGACGGAAGGACGATTCGGTCACTGCCAATTTTGTGCATGTTGACAATTAACAGTTGGAGAATTAACATTTCACGGGTCGCGTATGCCCCCTGGCAAGGAGAATACCGTGATCTAACTGTGGCCGCGAGACGCGTGTAATTCGTTCCAGATTAGCCGAGCGTTCAGGGTCACGTGCAGGCATAAAGTCCATTACGTTATACTCGATTGAATTGTTATTCCATTTCTTGTCTTAACCTTTCGCATTTCAATTACGTCGTTCGGAATACCGTAAAGATTAGACGGACGATTGCATTGGTAAGATTATCGGTAATTGGAGCGTTTAGCGCTACGTCAAAGGGTAAACAAATCTACGGCGCCATATCTCTATATACGTTTCTAAGAAAACAAAACGATATGCGAGGCGGAAAACGGGAAAGAGAATGTCGCAGATTAATTTATTTACCTATGACGCGCGAAACGTGGCATAAAAAGTGGAATAGTCTCACCTGCAGGGACATGTCCTCGGGATGTAGCGTTGCCAACTGCCTGACTCGATCCTGCAGGATATTCACGAGCGTGGTGTACCTCTTGTTCAGATTATCTAGGTCGCGAGCGATGTCGTCGACAGTCGATACGAACTCTCGTCGCGGCTTTTTCACAGATGCATCCAAAGACGGGCAGATATCTTCCAACTGTTCCTTGAACGCTCGAAGCCTTTGTCCGTAGATCTATGGGTTTTGGTTAGCCCGTTACGGTTAGTGGATAGTATTAGATTGTCGCCTGTGCGTCGCTCTACCCTTCTATCCCTTTAGCAATCCCTAGTACCACCGTGTCCTACGGGACACCCGTCAGTCTTGAAGCAAGCCGACCGCGTATGAGGAATAGCGTCGAGATGTACTAATGATCTCAAGGGATGCAATTTTAGCAACTTTAAGCGGCTTGTATGTCCGGTTAATCGATCAACCGAACGGGGAAAAGCTACATGAAGCCTGAACCTTGCGAGCGTTCAAGCGCCTCGTGTAATCACGATGTACGTCGAGGATCGTGAACCAAGCGTAACGAAACTACCTTCCTCTACTTTGCATACCATGATAAGTTCACCAGGCGTCGTGTTTAATACGAACGATCGGGGTTAAGTGTGCCTTCGTTTGATATTCGTTATTAACAAAAGGAAAGGTGCGCAAAGTGAGGAACGACTCGGAACAGGAAACAATCGAATTTGAATAAAGAATGTAGGCGGGTGCGTTCCAAGCGAGGATTGAAAAGCCGTTTCGTATTCGACGATCGTGTTGCCGATCGATACGAAACGTTCTCGGTTGGATGGAGAAACGGGTAACTTTCCTTTTGCGTGTGTAAAGCCACCAAAAGCCAAGTATCGTGTGCTATCGTTAGCGTTAGCATCATTTAAGCCTATGATCGTTTGTATTCACAGCGGCTATGACGGCGAGAAGGTTAAAGCGATCCTTAGTGCAGCAAAAGCGAGAGGAATGTAGGCTCGCGATGCATCCTTGACCCCTGGAAACAATTGAAAACTCGAAATGTCTAAATACGTTGTTCGTCGACACGACGAATCATCGTACGAGCCTCTGACTCTCTTTGGCCGTACGATATTGCGCGTGACGAATCCGCTGAAAAGCCCATGGAAAACACCAGCTGAAAAAGTTGCGATCGATGCTGGGCTGCGAGGTAGACAGTCCATCCAGTAGCGATAGCGGCGACAGTGACAACAGTAGCGTACGCTTTTCCTAGTGATTTGCAGCTTGATGACAATTACGGCAACGATGATCCACGACGGCCGGAGAACCGGTGGCGACGCCGATGAACACAGCTTCACGTAGAGCAGTACCTCACGAATCTAGCAGTCGTCGGGATACAGACTTCGGACGGATAAAAAGGGGTAATCGTCGAAGGGAGAGCGCGACGTGGGATCGCGACGCGAGACAATCGCGCAACGTGTTCTTCTAAAGAGGACTAATACGTAAAAAGGACTCACGCAATATCCCATTCACGCAAGCGTTCATACCGTAAGCTAATAGGCTACCTAAAGGCTACCTAATGCTAGCTAAGCCTACCTAAGGCTTGCGAGTAGTATACCCATTCGCGATCGTGTCGCGTCTCATCTTACCTTTCCTTCGCGAATCAATCGACCACCCGTCACATTTACCGCTTCGATCGCTGGTGCCCGTTCGACCACTCTGTTCAATAGATTCTAAACAGGAACAAAACGTGAAAGTATACGAGTATAAAGTGCCGATCGCGATATCGAGTACGACGATTCGACAGAATCCTCGTGCGTTACCTTCGCATTTTCGACCTCGAGTTTGCTGTACGACTCGTCCACGAAGTCGACTTCGTTTCGATATGCGTGTTCCAGTTGTTGAGCTAGTCCATAGGCTGCTTCCGCGCTGCGTAGTCTGTCCACTAGCTGACCACAGAGATTGGTCCATCTGGCGTTCAGTCTGTTCACCTCGGCGTCTAAACGATCCATATCCGAATGAGGACCACGATGACTCGGTCTCGATTTCTCGACCAAGCGTCTAGCGTTATGCGCGTCTTCGTTCAATTGATCCATCGCGGTCTGTTGCTGGGCAATGGCGTTCTGAAGCACCCGTAGGTCTTCTCGTACGGATTGCAATCCCTTCAGGTCCGAGGGCAGTTCGTCGAACGAGGCCAATTTCACTTCGAACTCGGATATCGCGGTCGTGTTCTCCTCGAGACTAGAAAGTACGATCTCGACACACTTGAGCCGCTCGATGTACAAGTTACTTGCGTTCCAGATGTGGGTCCACTTGGTGGTGACAGCATCGAGCTTGTTCCTCATCGCAGGGGTCTTCAAAGTGATACCGCGGAAAGTTTGCTGGACTCTATCCATGTCTGGCGCTAAGCGCTTGAGACTTTGCTCGAAGTCTTTGTGTTGCAAAACCAAGTGTTCCAAACTATCGATATCCCTGGGCAACGGAGCAGCTATACGAGAGTTCAAAACCCTCTCTGCTTCATCCAGTGATTGTTGAAGGGCAGAGATCTGCTCGTTGAAAATACGTCCCGCGTTCTTCGACTCTTCCTCGGCTCTGGCACGTTTCTCCAGTTCGTCGAACAGCTTGTTCACTTCGGCCATTTCTCTCTTTAGTCGTCTCAATTGCGGATCGGCAGGATCACCTTCGGATAGAAGCTTCTCGGCATCCTCGTTCAAGGCCTTCCTGATAGCGGTCCTCTGATCTTGACCCATGGCCAAGAACTGCGGCAGATCCCAACCCTTCACCACTTTGATGGTCGCGAAAATCATGTTCTGTCGCAATCGAAGCTGCTTCCGTTGCCACAGTGCAACGCTTCGGTCATATTGTCGTCGCAATCTTTCCGCGGCATCGAGAGCATCCTTGTCCGGTGGCTGAAGGGCGAAACAAACGCCTGGTACAGGAGTCTCCACGCCCTCTTGATTCTTCACGCGCCACTTTATCCTACCAGAGTTATCATATAACGTGCACTGTTCGCCCTTCTCGATTGACATCTGAAACCGGCCAATTTGCACGTCGAAACAATATATGATACACCATCGAACGAATGACATAATGATCATTGTACTTACGTTGACTTGTTTGTAACTGCAGACGCAAGTAACTTGCATGGGCCGTGTCACGGGCTGTCTGCGTTGCTTCATGGGAACCACGTCCTTGGCTTGCTCAACGAGCTTCTGCACGTGATCGCCGTAACTATTTAATTCTTCGCGCAATTCTTGCATTCCCTTCAACAGACGTTCGCCCTCGTCCAAGGAGAAATCTGATTGAGAATAAATGGTGTTGAGTGTCTCGTCTCTGTTCGAGATCCATTGCTCCGCTTGTTGAATGCCTCGGAAGAATTGCTGGCTCTGAGCTGCGTGTTTCAGGTGAACTTCTAGACAAAGAGTTAATTGAAGAAGCCAGGCCCATTGGCTTTGCATGGCGGACATGTGAGCTTCGATAGTCTTTGCAGCGGGATGATGTTGGAGAACCAAAGCCTCGCCTCGGTCTTGCACCGCAGAGAATTGAATCTCTCGCTTTTCTAGGTCGCTCATGAGGGACTGTAAAAGCGGAAATGCGCGAATTAAGCATCGATACGTGGATCGTCGAATTTGCGTCAGTTTCACAGTGCATGAACATTCGCAAATTCGTCGATCGCAAAATTTATCGCGTTACGCTACGATCACTCTGATTCATAGCTCCTCGTTACCTCTATACCGGATCCAAACGTGCGCTTGCAGAGAACAAACAAGCGTTAGCGACTTGTACGTTAAATTCGTTGACGAATCACGCGGATTATTGGAAAAGCCCGATAACTTTCCGAAGCAAATATTAAAATATCAATTACCTCGTAATACTGCTCGATACTCTGTACGTTCAAATTCTTGTCGCTCCAATCGCGCGTCACCTCTGTCTCCTCCTTAGAACTCAGCCAAAGCAGTTCGCCAGTCGCCGATTGTATAAAGTCGTGTAACGTATCCAAATCGGAAAGTCTCTTATTCGAGGCCGCGAATAATTCGGTGTAAAGTTTCTGAAGAACAGACAGATGCTGGCTATACAGTGTCAATTCCTCGCCATGGAAGTGACTCTTGGCTTGCACGCATCTGTCCACTTTAGGATGGAATTGCTCGATGTTCTTGTGCTCTCTTTGGTGAACGTCCAGTTCCTTCTGCACGCTAGGCAAATCGGAGCCATAGTCCGCGTCCTGGAGCTGCTTGATCTTCGATTTGCACCAATCGATGCAGTCGTGTAACGCGCGGAAATGTGGATTGGTGTCGACCAATCGGGTTTCATGGACGGTAGTACGATGTTTGGTGACGACGCGTTCCTCTACCGGGAAAGACACGGCCGACAGCGGATGTACCAAACGATTGTGAAGAAGAGATCGCAGGGCGACCCACCGTTGATGTAGCTTCTGAACTCTGCGGGACACGCGAGGATGTAAACTCTTTCGGGAAGAACGAAAAGCATAGGGGGAAAGAAGGGAACGGACACCGAGGTGGATACCTTTTGTGAAGTTCGGCCGCCTGACTATATCGGCCCTCGGTAAGAGTGTGCACGTCGGTAAATATATTCTGTATCTGGATCTCTGTGTTACGGATGTCCTGCTCCAAGAGATCCACCGCGTGTTTGGCTTCCAGAGGATGAAGGCGATCGAGACGCCTCGCTTCGTCCTCCACTCGTCTCTCGAGCTCCTCCAGTCGACTGTCGGTCGCCTTCATCTCTCTGTGCACTTTCTCTGCCAGTCGTTGCAGTCGTTCGAGTCTGGGGAAGAAATACAGGCGTGTGCAAGTTCCAGGCGAATCGAATAGAACGCAATCGCTGTTGCGCTCGATCGCGCTCCTAGGATGGGGATAAATCTCACCGTTTAATTTCGTCGATGATGGCCTGCTCTCTTTCCTGATGCAGCATGATCAGTCGGTTCCAATTCTTCTCGATTACTTGGATATGTAATTCGGGCTCAATGTCCACCTCACCGACCGCTTCGAAATACTTTTCGAGGTCCTTGAAGAGGTAAGAGAGTCGTTGCTTGTCCCTGTATCGAGGCGGTACTTCCTCGTTCTTAAATTTCGTGCTGTCGGCCGCCAGTTTCTTCATTTCGATCAGGGTGAGCGGGAAGGCACGTTCCTGCATCAGGCACATCTTCTCGCGGATCCATACGTGGAGGGAACTGGCCAGCTCTCTGTACTCCTCCGAACGCCTTTGGGCCTCGGCATCGTACAACGGATGAATGGTTGGCGGCTCCGGGAACACGTCGTAGAGCGAAGAGATGTACGTTATCAAGGACTTCTCGTCCGGTTCAGGAGTATCTACGTCTGCAACGGAAAATAGAGGAACTGACGCATCGGACTATCGCGCGCGAACCAGTTACGCTTCCCTTGCTTTCCTTTCCAAAAGGAATCGCTAGACCAGCGTCGTTTCATCGCGCAAAAGGGAAAAAGCAAAGGGTGGAAGAGAGCGTCACGGTCGAAGCGTCGACCGGAAACGGACGTCGGACACGAACAGCGGTTCGAGCATTTCCGAGGACAGGAGAAAACGCGGGAGAAAGGACACGCGAAGGAGAAAACGCGGACGACAGCGGGAAAAGAGGAGAAACTCGGAAAAAGGAATAAATCGGTCGATGGAACGATGTAAAAAGGGGGTCTTTACCTTCAGGATCGAGAAGCCTCGTAACGCCATACTCGCGCTCCGCGACGTGGAAGACCCGATCGAGCCGCTCTCGTGGCTGACTGGCACGAGCACCTCTCCAATCGACCAGATCTGGTCTGTTTCGATGGATCAATGCACTGAAAGCTAGCCCGTCCCTCCACGAACCGGTGAAGTCCGTGACGCGTACTCCAGGATAACGCGCCGTCGATCGTCGGGCCCATCTTAGAAGCGCTTCTCGGGCAGTCACGTTAGGTTCCTGACCCACTACAATATCGGATATCTAGGAAAAAAGAAAAGGTCAAAGTTCGTCAACAAATGTCTCTCGTTCGTCTGCGGGTATAACGGAGTTTTGTTTTCGTCTCGGTCTAACTCTGGGTGTCCGCATCGACCTCGATGTCGTTTCCGTTTGGTTCGCCCTTCGATGTTCAATCGCGCGATTCGAGTTGCGCGCAAGGTTCGTCTTACATCGGAATAATTAGAAGCTCGTTAGCACGAGAAGCGCAGGGAAGCGCGAACCTAGGGACGAAAGACGACCCGACGCTTTTGCTGCCATGCGTTACGCGAAAACGCAAAGTGAAAAGGGACGTCGGGGTCCCGCGATCGCGAAGCAACATTGGCAGGATGACGCTTACCCGAACGGTTTTCGGTTTTGGCGAGGCCTGCCGACTCAAAGAGAAGGAGGAGGAGGAGGAAGCAGCGGTGTCCTGCAAGTAGCCGGCAGTGGCACGCTTCGTGAGATCCTCGGCCACGCATCTTTCTTCGCCCCTTGTCAAAGTGGTCGTTTTGCGAACGATCCGGGTCACGATACGTTTCGTTCCGTTCTCTCCGCGTCTCGAGGTTTTCGTTGACTCGATCGACGATCCTAAATCGCAGCGTTATCAGTAAACGCTACGTAAACACACCGTGTTCCCGACGGAAAATATTCTACGCAGCTCTTCGACTAACCGACACCGTTGGAACGAGTTTCAGAGGCATCTCCTCCCGATCGCGATCTATTCGAAATCGCGTCACGATCGACGCGAGCTTGGCTACGTTCCAGCCGAGTGCCATCTAAGCCGATCGTGTCGCGACTTCGACGGATCCATCGACGAGTCGAGATCGCGATCGACTCGCGAGGGAAAAATCGCTTCGCTTGGGATTCGATCCACGAAACTCGTAACCGGGTGCCGTTCGACGATCTCGACGACCTCGGAGTCGTCGGAGCTCCTACCTAGAACCTCGGTGGAGAGTCTTCGTTTCGTATAGATCGCTCTCAAGTCATCGGCGGTGGCGGCGGCGGCGGCGGGTGTCGCGGTGGTCGAGGCAGGAGAAACGACGTTTTCGCGGGGGTCATCCTCCCTGGTGCCCTGCACGAATAGCCGGCCACCCTTGCTAAACCGATAGATCGACATCGCGTATATATATATATATATATATATAAATCAGTGCGTGCGAATCGCTATCGGCGCGTCAATTGCCTCGTGTCTTCTCTGACGGTCGTCGAAAGGACCGACTCGCTCCAAGAAACTAACATCGACCTCCGGGAAAAGACGCAAGGCACGTACGGCTACTCGATTCGTAGCCTTATCCGGCGTCTCGGTCTCTTCGCTTGCGGTGCGCGCTGACGCTCGTGAAAGCCGATTATCGAGAATCGACCGTTTGTCTCGTCACCGTTAGTCCAGGGGTCTTAGTCTGGCCGCGACTCGAAAAGCGGTTATCGATTCGCGAATAAGCGTCGATCCTTATCGTTCGCGGCCGGTCGGATCGAATCAGTGCGACGAACGAAACGATTCTTCCTCGGCACCAAAACGACTCCTTTCGTTAGAGGAGCGATCGCGCGCGCGCGCGACTAGCCTTGGCGAAATCGCTCGAGCGAGCAACCGCGTTCACTGGACCAGGCGACAACGTCGACGAGGACGGACAGAAGACGACACAGAGATGGAAGGGAGCTGACAGACAGGTCCTCGGCTTGGCAGAGAGGAAAGTGACAGCGAGGGAGAGATAAGGCGACAGGAATTAATCGTTATCGGAGGAGGCACTCGACGGCAGGTACGGCTAGCACGGCGCGTATCGCGAACCGACTGCCGCGCACTACAGGTAGCTCATCGAGACCGATCCCCACTTCGAGTTCCCTTCGTGCTTCTTTGCGCGCTCGTTTGCTCGTTCGCCCGTCCGCTCGCACGTTTCACCGGTAAGGTTTCACGACGCGGTTCGTCGCGCGTCCCTAGCCGCGCGACACGTGTCTACACGTTCGTGGCTTCGCCGAACGTTCCCGGCAGGTCGCGACGACCACGATCACGACCGTTCGAAACGATCCCGATCTTGCACGGCGAACGCGTTGCTCGTGGAACGAAAGCACAGGGTACACCGGCGATTCACCGAACGACGACCGACCGACCGAACGACACAGCCGCGTTGTATCCGGCTGCCGTCCCGAGAGTAGGCCAACGAAATGCGCACAGGTGAGAGACGCCTCCGACATTCCCCCTCTTCGTTCCCCACTCTCTTTTTCGCTCTCCTTCGCTCCCCCTGTCTCTCTCCGCCTCTCTCGCTCGCTCACTCTCTCTCTATCTCTCTCTCTCCAACGTCTCTCCCGCTCTCCCTGCCACCCGATCGCCGCCCGATCGCCGCTCGCGCTCGTCATACCATCCACTGCTCCATCCTGCCCACCCCTGCACACGACGTCACCTATCTCCCTTTGCTTCCGCGACGCCCCCCTAAAATCCCTGTCCTCGTGCAGCGCGTCCTCGTCGCGTCCGTGCACGCGCTTGTTATTGTGCATACGGCCGGTGCAAGATCGCGCATGCGCCCGCGCGATATCGGCCGAGTCATCGGCGAACGTACTGTTGCAACGAGGCGAAACGCGTCGAGGGAACAGAGGCGGCGGCGGCCCCGCTTCGCCGCGACGCTTCGTTTGCCGTTCGTCGCGCATCGTGTCCTTCCTCCTTTTCCTTTTCCAGAGATTTTACGATTCACCGTGGCACAGTAACGCTCCGTAAGCGCCGCCTTCGACCGTCGGTGCCCCGAGCCGACGTCGCTTTATTTCCCCCGGACTCGCCTAATTCGCGCGCGGTTATCTATCCGATTCGAGTCGGCGGTGAGGCACGGTACGAGACAATAACAACGACGACGAGAAGGATACGCGTCGGCTCGGCGTGGAGGACGCCCGCCCGCGCGCGCGCGCGCGAGAACCGGCGGCCGAGGAAACGAAAACGATGCCTAAATAAGCGGCGTCGAGAGGAAAGAAGCGAAAAAATGGGACGCGACGCCGCGTCCCTGAGCGTTGCGAGCCGAAGAAGGAGGAAAAAAAGGAACGGAAAACGGTCGCGCCGAGAGAGTCGAGACGCGCGATTCACTCGAGACCGGACGTGACGTCACCAGGCCCGCAACCGCCCGGCTCGAGCATTGGCTTCCGTTACGATGCCGCCCGCGTGAACCGATCGTTGCGAGATCTTTGTGGATCCTCGCGATTCTACTCGAGTTCCGCCGCCAATTATCTCTTCCTACTTTCCTTCGGTAACGCTGCGTAGTTTCCGGAAACGATTCTCTTCCAACCGATACCATCTCTACCTGTCCGTGCCAGAAATGGAATGGAAAAAAAAAAATAAAAAAAAAAAAAAAAAGAGAAAAGTTGGGAAACCCAGCTCTCACCAGCAGTTCTCGAACGATATATATCGTGGTTCGTAGAACGGTATCGATCGATGGATCGAACAGAACGGAAAGAAGGCGCGAAGGCGCGAAAAACGCGAGGATGCGTAGAGCGCGCTAAAAAGGAACGGTCGCTCACAGGCTGACCTTGGCCAGTGGCGTCATTCGCGTTTTCGTATTCGGTGCTCGATCGGCCGATCGCGATTATCATAATTACAAGGTGGACGGCGCGCGCGACCAGGGAGACGCCGCAGGACGACGCGATACGACCGCCTCCCACGTCCCGGAATACCTCGCGACCGTGCCTTCGACTGGCTGTCAACCTTCCGTCCGTCTCGTTGACGCGACGTAAGGCGCGAAACTACCATAAACGGAGAGGTCTGCGGCGAACGGAAGGACAGTCATCACCGGCGGCTACGAAAAATGACGCGGTTCTCGGATCGTGCAGGGAAATGTAACTCTCGGTATGGCTCGCTCCACTGAGCGCTTCCGCGTGTGGGACGGGGCCTGTTACGAGCCGAGGTTCTACCTGCCAGCGCCATCTAGCTCTCCGGATCGGTTCACGCGGTCGATAAGAGTCGGAGCGGGAACTGGCCGCTGAGAAACGTCGCGGCACGACCGTTTCGCGGTTCCTGTTTTTCGCCCAGCGGGAACCACTACGGCATAAATATGTTAGGGAACTTACCTTGCGTCGCCAGCTCTGCGGCGCGAAACAGAAGAAAAAAATACACCATTAGATACAGATGCTGAACGGAGACGCTACTTAGTAAGTAAATATAAGAGGGGGGAATAGGCTTAAATCGGCGGCCACTTCTCGCCTCTCGAAGTGCGAACGCGCCGATTCGAGAGCGCGCGAGATAACGAGTCGACGCGTGTTCGTTGCATCGCCACGGAAACGAACACTGTCTCCCTTTGTGCGGTCGCGTAACGCGGTTACTCGAGCCGCGATCGATGGCTCGCGTTCGAGGCTTTTTGCGCCCGTCCGCAGACGATCCGACGTCCGGCATCGGCCTACTCTTTTCCATCGGCGCCGGCTCTCCTCTCCGGACGCCCCGACCATCTCGCGCGATCGCGTTCCCGTTCCGTTTCGTTCCGTTCCGTTTCATTCCGTTCCTCGACGGCGCCAAACGTCGCCCGGAACGGCTGTCGCGGCCTCTCCTTCCGCGCGCTTCCTCCGTCCGCCGACTCGCTTTCGATCGGAACGAGAATCGCGAGAAAAACGAGAGTGGTCGGGCATTCCTGCGCGATGATTCTCCTAGCCGACCGTTTTCCCCTCGCGAAGCGGCAGTTTCTCGGAAGCGAAACTTTCGATCGGTATCGCTCCGCGCTTCTTCTTGCGAGGAGCGTCCTCCTCGCCGTTCGAAAACCAAACGCCGGACAATGGAGGTCGTTCTTCGATAATCGCGACTCGAAAGGGCGAACCAGATGTCGGCACGTTCCTATCCGTCGTTTTCTAGGGGCGCGATCTTCCAGCCCGACAGACTCCATCGTGTCACACACCACGTGCCGGTATCGTCGCTCGTCAAAGCGTGATCGATGATATTTCAGGGGGACGCACAGCTGGCGCCTACTCACCTGGAAGTGTAGTATGATGGTCCATATCAAACCTAGGGTCAGCTTCGGATTTCCATCCACGATGTCTTCCGCACGGATATTGACGAGTTTGATTTTCTTGTAACGCAGAAAGTCAAGGGCCATCTGTACGTTCTGCAGCATGTGGAAACGCATTCGACCTCTCTCCCGCGGCTGCAAAGCAAAAACGCGTTAGACCCCGGTGGTTCCATGGTATCCGGCTAGAACGGGTTTCCGGATAGATCGTAAATCGTGCAGAAATACGACGAAGTCGTTTAAACGGATGGAAGGCACAGTCCATCGTCCACCCTCGTAATCGAGGTCAAGTCGGGCCCGCCCTCGCGATTACGCAACGCTGTATTTCACCCTGCCAAGCGAGGGTTAAGCGGAACAGCGCCAATCGCGTCTGTGTCGCATAAGCGGGTATTAAGGCGAAGGAGGAGGAGTAGAAGGACGCGAAATACTTACGAGATGCTCGCCCGAGAGAACCTCCAGCAAGGAAATGAGGTTGTGCCCGTCCCGCAGGTCTTCGAACAAATCTCCGACATGTCTGCTAGCCTGCAACAACGATTTCACGCGTCAGTGCACTGATAAATCGCTTCCTTGTTCAAGTGTCTCCCGACAATTCATAACTGAAAATAAAAACGAGCAGCAGAATGAATCGACGCGATGGGGGGAGGCGAGAAAAAAAAAAGGGGGGGCGGAAAGATCGGCGGTACCCGAGTAAAATTAAGAGACGCAAAACGGGAGGACATTGAACAGCGACATACGAGTGTATACGTATACACCAACACAAAACGTGAACAAATTCTACGAACACGAACGTGCAAACACACATAAAACGGGGATAAAGAAGAGGATGAGAGTCGAACGAAGGGGGTGCACGGAGTAATCGCGTGCCTGGCGAAAATAAAACGCGCAAAGTTGTACACGGGCCGAGGTGCGTCACGTGCAAACGCAGCAATCGTGGCCCTCAAACTCGCGATTAAAGTTTGAACACCGACTGTGATAAGCGGGAATCTCCGGTATCGCGGTAACCGCGGCGGAAATAGCTCGATTTTCGACCATTCTGCCGCGTTTACACGCCGATTTCGCTTTTCGCGAGGTACCCCTTCGTCCACGCGAATGGGGGAAACGAAAGATCAGGACGGACAGGAAGGAAGGACGTTACTTGACGCGATGATAGTTTGACGGACAAAACGAGACACATCGTTTTCTCTCGGAGCATGCGAAAATTCCTTCTAACATTGGCAACGGTCTTTAACGACACCTGCCGTGGACTTACAGTGGGGGAACAGCATGGCTGGTTGTTCACAAGGACGCACACGTGCAGACACGTGTAAGTCTGAAAAAAAGACGGATTAAAAAAGGAGCACGCGGCGAGTTACGCGTTCGACGATTCCGCGTGGCTTGAACGTAACCGAAGGTAGCGGCAGATCGACGCGGTGACATAGCGCACCGTTTGCAGGAGCGTCGGTTCGCTGGTGATCGAGGAGGTCGAAGCTGCCGCTACTCGTCGGTCGCCTGGACGAGTGGTCCTTGACCTGAGAACTCCGTGGCATGCGAGACACAAAAGCGCCGGGCCGGGGAAACTTCCCCTTTTGCGAACAATTTACAAGGACTTACGGTGGATAATCCTTAATTGCATGTCGACGCTTCGAAGAACGAACCTAGAATGGAAGAAGGCGCTTTGTCTCCGCGAATCGTGACGAGTCAAAGGAAATGCTCGAAGCGTCGGCGATCGTTTCCCGATGGTAGGTGGTCTCGCGACGGATTAGGTATCGTTTCCAACAAGCACCTTTGTTTTCCACGATACTCCGCCGCGATGAATCCGCGATCGTTCGTGATCCACAATTGGACGCTTGGTAGGCTCGTTACGCAACGCCGTTGAACGTAATCATCTCCCAGCGTCTCTTTAACTCGTCGCGTTCGACCGAACGGATGGAAACTCAAAGACCATCCAATGACAACTATCGGCGACTGCTAAACTAGGGGTGGTAAAACTCTTTTCTTCTAAATTTACGTGTTCTATCGACTATCGACGTGCATTCAACGATCGTCCTATGATCTAGAGAAACGCGAACCACTCGTCCGAGTCGTTCGTCCGCTGGGAAGAATATACCGGGTGGATTCATACCTTCACGTATTTCCAGTGCTGTGTGTGTGTGTGTGTGGCAAGCGTGAAAGGATGGAAAGTAGAGAGTTAAGATTACGAATTATCATCCGACAATGGGCTCTTATGCAATTGCAGAGATCTGCGGGGAACAATCGATGCGTTGTCACGGGCGGAACGAGCGCATCCGAGGTGGACGTCACGCAGCGCGCGAGCGGCGTCGCGCTTTCGACTATTCTCGGGCGAGAGAGTAAAAGGAAAGTAAAAACGCGGGAGTAGAAGCGGAGATGGAATCGCGGCGACGTTTCGCAGTGACGCCCGGGACAACGACCGATCGTCGGGGATCGAAATCGGTTGAAGCAAAGTGGACGCGTGCAGTCGACGGGCGTATAATGGATCGAGCGCGGAGCGTGATCACCGCAGCGTCCATGAATGAACGAAGAAGGGGGCAGGAGTTCGCGGTACCGGGTGACGGAGGTGCAGCCAAACATCGGAACGAAGATCTTCTCTAATTCCGTCCCGAGAATCATCGCTGTCGCGGAAGGCAGGATGCCTTCGTTATTCAACGGATCGGAATTCATGGACGCAGAGAAGTTACTTCAGCGGACCATTTCCTGGCACCAACGTTACGTAATGCCTGCGATGCGTCATAGCGAAGCATGCACTCGCTCTCTTGAGCTAACGTGTCCAGAGCTTTTCATTTCCCCGCTCCTGCCCTTCTTCCCGGATCGCTCTATTCTGTGCGACTCATCGACTCCGCTAACGCAACCAGCCTAACTAACTAACTGACTAACTGACTAACTGACAGACTGACTGACTGACCGAACCGTGCTTGCCTACCTGCGTACCTAACTGCCTACTTACCCACCTACTTACCGGCCAAGAGGTGGTAAATCGGGAACGTCGTTCGCAGGAGAACGTTTCCGAATAAGGTCAGAGTTACGAGAGGAAAGGTGGGCGCGCGCGCGGAATCGAGCAGGTAGGTAGCCAAGAGAACCAGTACCGAGCGACGCGCAAACACGTAGTACCGTTCTCGCGGTATTACCCTGGAATCCATTACCGAGATCGAGTCGACACGAACCGACTGCGCGATACACGCCGTGGACGTGGACTCGGTCATGAGTGTCGCGACGCCCTTTCTCTCCCTTCGGGTCTCCGGAAAAAAGAAATTTCGCTAGCCTCGCCGGAAGAAAGAGTGTGGCTTCAGGATCGATCGCTCCTCGAGTCGACGCGAAAGTCTGGCGCTCCTCTCCCTTCCGCGAACGCGCGGGCCACGATAGATAGAGCGGAGGTTCCGAAGGAGGAGAAACGAGAGTAGGTAATGGAAGAGGGCACACAGTGGAAGAGAGGGGTGAGTAATGCCGCGCCTCGACAGGCGCCGCTCTTCGTCGCTGCCCGGTTTCGAAACGAGCCGGGGTCGAAGAGCTAACTAACATAGGAAGAAAATAAGGCTCGATAACCCTCGAAATACCGATCGAGTTATACTCGCCGCTTACGAACACCGAGCGCTTCAACCTTGCCTCTCTTCTCCTTTCTCCTTGACTCCTGACTTTGCATACGCGGCCAACGTAACGAGAAAGCAATGCGCGGAATGTATCGCTGCTCGATTTATCATTGAACGCGCGTGCTCTTCTCTTTCTCGCTGCTTCCACGGGCCTAGAGCGTCTCTGTCCATCGTCATCGTTCGCCGGCCATCATTTCGACCCTCTTTCTTTATTATTTTTCCTCTTTCCGAAAACAGAAGAGGGACCTGCGTCATCGTCGATCCGCGACAGCGAGTGCAGAGAGAAGAAACGAAGACGAGAGTCACGTGAGATCAAGGCTAACGTGTCTCGAGTTGCAAGAATTGTTCGCGATCGCGTGGCATGTCGTCGGCGTCGGCGTCTTGGACATCGTCTTCGTCGTCGTCGTCGACGTCGTCCAGGGCTATTAGCGCGTCCGCACCCCCGGCTTCGTCGCGCTCGGACACGCTATTGGCATCGGCAACCGATCGGCATTGGAATAGACGTTGGCATCGTCCGCGGCAGCATCCTCTTTTTCCCTCGCGTATCCGCGCGCTCGAGTATGCGTACGCCGCGGAACAGTGGCGGTGTTTGTTCGACCGAGCGCATCGGCGCCGGTAGCGCCGTCGTTCCGATCTCCTCCATCGATCTACGCGTTACACAGAAAAACCCTCCCGTTCCGAAAAATCCGCGTCCTATCGAACAACGTACGCGTATAAGAGCGAGTACGAACGCTCCCGTGCCCGAAAGCCACCGACTCGCAGCTGACCGATCGAGATAACAGGGAACGAGGGGTATGGAGAACGAGGGGTGTGTGCTATTGCAAAGGGGTGCGGGAAGAAACGGACGGGTGAAGGTTGAAAATAAGGGGAACCTCTAATCGGAGGGGGATCCATGGTGCATAGATCGGAATGATTTTCTCGATTTCACCCACTCGGTTTCCTCGATACGTTACCTTCTATAGCAGCGCGTGAAATACCCTCCTGGAAGGGATTATGGTCGGCCCACGCGTACGGCCTACATGGAAAAAGAGACGGGTGCAAGAACACGCACTACGCACGCATATACGTATATACGTGTGTATATGTATGTATGTATATATATATATATATATATAAATATATGTATATGCGTATGTACACTCGGGGGGCTGAGAAGGTCCCCTATCGTTTACGTATGTGGTTACGAAACAGCTGGTTGTCCCGGCGTTGCGCGTCGCTGCTCTCGTATGCTCACCTATCAGGTGTTTCGATATACTCTCTCGCCTCGACTCCGCCAACCGTGGCCTCCTGCTAAGGTCGCTCTAAAATTAGGTATCGTTCGATATTTCGAAGGAAGGGCCACGGCTGGCCTTCGAGGAACAGCCCCCACCCCGTTTTCGCTGTAATTCGCGGAACGATTTCAATACTTTCTCGTGGGAAGGATTAGAGATCATAATCGGTAGATTACACGGTCGTACAGGTGGGTCGATGCGAGAAATTTGCCCGACTCGCCGACCGAGCTGGAAGGCTTAAAAGCGTACGCCCATCGACTGTCACAGCGTTGAGAACGCGGCGGTACGTTTCCTGCGATTCGAGAGGCTTACCTTTTTCAGATGCTTGTTCACCCATTTGGTAAATGTTTTCTTTTGGATCGCGTCTCGTTCGTCTGTAATCACAAAGAGGAGGAATTCGTTAGAGAGTCGGGGCGATCGCGGCTAAGGGGGCGATGAACGTGGCCGTTTCGTCCATCTCGTTCTCTAGGCAAACGCGCGATCGTCGCCGATTTCCAGGCTGCATCCACGTCTAATTAAATCGTTCGTTTGCATTCTACCACCGTCACACGACTCGCGAGCGATCGCCTACGCGGGCAAACAGGCACCGGGCATCAGGCATCGAGGCAGCGAGCAGTCAAAGCAACCGGATAGACGGACAGGCAGACAGACAGGTAGGTGGTTGGGATAGGTAGGTAAGTAGGTAGGTAGGTAGATAGAGGGACGGATGGGTGTTGATACGTAGGTAGTCAGGTAGGAAAAGAGCAGTCGATCGTGCAGGCAAACGAGCAAACGTGCGCTAAAACTTTGTCTAATTATTAAAAGGCCCCCCTGCAATCGCCAAGTGCATTCTGCCCCGTGTCCTTCCAACCTGAGCCCCGAAACACCTGAGCGCGAGCAATAAAGCTGGCGAATATCTGCACCCCGTATCCCGTACAGGTGCTAGCCTCTGGTAATCCGATTTAGCAACCTTACGACGACGGCCGTCCATAGAATACGGTATTATTCCAACCGACATCGCAACGAGAGGTAGACGCAAGTTCGACGACACGACTCGACGGTAGAAATTAATCGAGTAGGAGGCTTTTGCTCCGGCTTCCCAGTAACGATTAATTACGACCGATTATCCGATTGCATCTAGCTGCGGGCTCTCGTTAAGCAACGGTTATCACGAGTCTGTCGTTGCGTCTCACGGACCCGGGGACAATCGAACTTGCGCGATATTACATATTGCGAATGGCGGACCCTCGGACCGACGTGTTATTCGTCCTCGAAACGGACTCGTGACGGATTCCTCGACATGGCGGCGACGTGACGAGATAAGAAAGACAAACCCATTTGCACCGTTTCACAAAGACGCTTTCATGAAGGCGTCCCCGACTAACGGCAATTCAGACCTCGTATGGCGGTAACTCGTACGTGATGCGTTCACGAATTGCGTTATCCGGCACTCGACGGAGCAGATAAGGGGAAATAACAAACAAGAAAGAGTAATATTCGATCGATTAAGCCAGCATTCGTACACGTAAGCGTTAAAAATAAATAGCCGGGTTTATTCTAATTGACGTGACGAGGCATTAACTCGTAATCGGCTGGATCGAAGTTCGTCGAAGAGCCGAGAGTGTGCCTCGTGGAAGAAACATATTCGAGCGTAATCGAAAACACCGCCTCGGAAGAGTGGCATACCGAAGCACAATTGGAGATAAATTGGGACAACGAGGACGACACTCGTTCTCCGGCCACACGCATGGTATTTCCAAGCGTGTGATAACGGGGGAACGGAGACAATCGTCCACGGGCGTGACGGTATGGGGCGACGGAAAGGGAATGACGAGGAATTTTTTTTCCGACGATGATCGAAACAGGAAACCGCTATACGTGCTCGCGATTCCGCGAACGTACGAACACGCGCGTCTCTCTCGCGGAAAATTCTTTCGATAAACATCGGTTCAGCCGCGTTTGGCTGAAACTCTCGAGAATCGCTTCGACGAGCTCGTTTCGTAAGCGGGACACTATCTGCGTGCGTGTGCGTGCGACAAAAGGAGCCGCGAGTAACCCGTTTGTAAAAGCGATTCTAATGTAAATGATTCCGCGTAGTCGAAACGGATCAAGGAGGACGGAGAGGCCTCGACGTCGCGCGATTCGAAGTGATATTAGGCACACAAAGACACTTCAAAGTAGTTAGTTCAATGTTAAGCGAAGGAAAAAAGAAAAAAAAAAAAAAAAATAGAGAAGAGAAAAAAAGAGAAAAGAAAAAATGAAAAAGACTTCCAACAAAGACTTCCACAAACACGCGTGAGCGGTTTTGGTTGCAACGTAACGCGCGGAAAACTGGGCAAATATCGCGAGAATCGCGCTTGACAAGAATTCCCTCGTATCGGATATTCGAGACTCTGGATCAGAGCTCATCGCGAGGCGCGAACTATTTTGCCCCGGCTATTTCCGAGGCTACTTCCGCGAAACATTCGGGTCAAACGGCAAAAGGTAAACGACCTCAAAAAGATACTTCCGTTCCCGGTGTACTCTCGGACCGATACGAAACTCTAGTTTACGCGACGCGTGCAATTCTCCGCACTCCCTTTTCCCTCGAATTCTTCGCTCGCTACGGAGCCGAGAATCTCGTTCTCACCGAGAGAACGCTCGAAGAGAGGAGAGATCGTACGAAGAATCGCGCGCAGCGTCAGCCCGATTTGTCTCGATTCTCCGGACGATAGAGGCCAAGGAAGAAGCCAAAGCGAATTCGGTGAGACAAAAAAAAGAAAAAAAAAAAAAAAAAAAACGAAAAAATAAAGAAAAAAAACTAGAAAAAACGTGAAAAAAATAAAAACGGGAGAAGGGTGTGTTCGAGGGAGATCGAAGAAGAGTAGTCTCTATTGGGAGGACGAGGAGGGTCAGGGGCAAGGTATTGGACGGGGTCCAGCATCGGCATGCCAACTCTTCACCTACCGTGCGCCTCGATGAACATCGCCCAGCAACCCCAGAAAGCCTGAGTGCTGCCGGAACGGTGTTCTGCGGCCCCTTCCACCCGCCAATTCTCCCGTCGTTCCATCATCCACGAAAATCCATTTTCGTTCTGACCTTTGAACTTGGAAAGAGACTCCTCGTATCCGTCCTGCGATTTCTGCTCACGATGGTGCTCCGCCACGGTATCGGCCGGATCGAAACCGAGCCTCTCCTTGTAATAAGCCTGCGTGGACATCTCGTTAACCGGTCAAACTCTCGGCTACGAGTCTTCCTTAGGTTCTCTCGAAACCAGCCAACGATAACCACGCGATGTCTTTCCCGTTCATCGGGCTTTCAGCTCTCCGCTCTCTGTCTTCTCCTACTAGATCTCGGTTCCCCCTTTCGAAGCAAACACGAACAACCCCCGGTTCCCGTTTCACCAGCCTCTTTCTCTCGTTCTCTTTTCCTTCGCCAGGATATACGCCACGGGCACAACACGCGAAACCGAGCACACTGTTTCCCTTCGCGTCTCGTTCTTCTCTCCACACCGATGTCCACCAGTGAAAGACGCTCGTTTCCTACGATCACGGTGCCTCCCTTGTTTCGCGGAAGCCACGGTGGGATGGTACGTTAACGATCTCGTTGGCTCGGTAAACGAGCACGGGAACACTTTAAACGTTCGCGTAACTTTTGTCCCAGACACTCGCTACACGGTAGACTTAGCTTAATGGAAGGTTTAATTACATATATGGCACTTGGAGTCGACGGAAGACCCAGTTTCGTCCTTACAACCGAACTCACTTTTCCACCCCTGTCTCTTATACCGTATTCCTACGCGCGGCCTCCTCTCGATTTTCGTTTCTTTTTGGATCGATTACTTGGACACTGGTCGCGACGTTGCACTGTTGGAAGAAGAGAAATGAAATGGTGGAACGGAACGGTGGTGCCCGTTGCACGCGACAGACGGACGGGCGGACACGAACGCGCGTGGATCGGATAGGGAGGAAAGCTCGAGGGCGCATCGGCGACACCGACACGACGACACGGACAATGCGGACAGCGAGGAGAACGGCTAATTTCGTTCCCCGTTTGTCCGTTCGGCCGTTCGCCCGCTCTCCAGACGCGAACGAAGCTTAACGAATCAACGACCGAATTTATCACGGCACGTCGCAGACGTAACCACTCAACGTTTCTCGGCCAAAGTGGCTCGGTGGAACACCACGAGACGCCGGTAATCGGTCTTTCGCGGACGCCTAGTTCATCGTTCTCGAGAGAGAGAGAGAGAGAGACTCCTCCGACTATATCCGCGCAGACACGATAAATAGAAGAGCACGAGGCAATTTTCGTTACTCCGCCGCTCGACTTTCGCGCGACCAATTAAACCGGACGGTTCTATTAGCGAGAGAACGCGTCACTAGAAACCGAGTATAGAACGGTGAAATACGCTTCGCTCGAGTTGCAGGCCGACCGATAAGCAAATGAAACGAGACGAGACGAGACGAGAGGAAAGGAAAGGAAACGAAACGAAAGGGATCGGGATTGGCAGGGATTGGCAGGGATAAAGGCGAGAACGGTGGCAACGATCGGAGCACGCGAGCGAATCAGCGATTGTACTAACGAATGAACGACCGGCTGCGGCCACGAGCGAGCGAACGTACCAACGAACCAGCGAGCGATCTACCAAACTGACGGTCCACGAGACGCTCGGTGACTGAGACACGGGTGCCACCCGGGGAAACCCAAGACCATCGGGATCTCCGCATATGGTAATGGAAGCAATGGCATGTGGGTGTCGTCTTCTGGATCGGAGCGAAAAGCAACAACGCCAATTGCGACACACCGGCAAGGGTCCCTCGCTAATCCTATTGGTCTTCCAGCTAAGATTATACCAGCTCGCGTGTTCCTCGCTCCCTTTCGACAGACACATGCCCCTACGCGTTTATCCACCGACCGTGCAACAACCCTTTCGTCTCGGTTTCGACTTTCTTCTCTCGGAGATAATACCCAAACGACACCCACCGCAAGATCGATTCGACCGACTCGGAAGGAACCGACAGAAGGATCGAAATCCAAAATCCTGCACCACGGAACCGACTCGATTCGGTTCGGTTCGATTCGATTCGATTCGACTCGACTCGACTCGACTCGATTCAATTCGACCCGGCACGACACGACACGACCGGACGACCTGACTCGACTCGATTCGACTCGACTCTGCCCGGTTCTCTCTAGGACCGACGGAATTAGATGCGAATAGAAAATAGAGTAACGCGTGTCACGCGCCACGCGGTGTTAGGCGAACTCCTTCTAACCGTGTCCGTCGCATTGGTTAGACGTCGTATAGAAAGTTCGAGAGAAAGTACCCCGCGCGCACGTAACGCGCGAACAGAGGTAGTCACATCTCCGGTCGCGGGAAATTTTATCGGAGGAACTCGCGACGGTGCCGAAAACCCACCGGGACCCGTGCACCGCGAGAATTTCGTCCGTCCGAGAAGGAAACGCGCGAAACGATCGATGACATCACGACACGGGTCGAAACGCAACGCGTCCCTTGCCCCCTCCGCGCCCGTCCAGGTAGACCCTGCACCACCTACGATCTCCTCGCGGTTCTTTCCGATCTCCCGGCGATATCGGCTTCTAAACGCGCGCGCAGCCGCGCGGAAAGGTAGCGAGGGAAGACAGTGGCCGGCTGCGAGCCAAGAACGAGCAGAAGCTGCGGAGAAAAGCGGACGCAGAAGGAAGGAGGAGGAAGCGCGTGTACACGCATCGGATCGGCATAACGCGGGCTGCAAGAGGGGCCGGCTCGGCGGCATTCTTGCGGCAACGGCATAGCAGTATAACGGGTCCATAGTCGGCTCACGGAGGACTTCTCGAGGGCTCTTGGAAGCCGAGAAGACTCTCTCCACCGGGCGTACAGTTCGGTTCAACCTTGAGCTGCACGCGGCAAAGCGTGGCTCGCGCGCGACTCTTCTTTTCCTCCGGCTCGCCTCGCCTTTTCGCCAGCCACCTCCGCGCCCTTTCGTTTCGCCGATCCGACGCCGATCCAACGCCGATCCGTCGCCGGAAACCCCACCTATCCTCGCGTCTATCGCAACCACCGAGCCAAGCGACCAAACGTTCACCAGCCATCGATCCTCCGCGAACCATCTTTCTCTCGCCTCCATCGTCCCCCGGTTACGTCCTACTTATGAAACGGTCCTCGCGTTCCCGCTGACTCTTTCGCGTCGTCGATCGACCTACCTGGGCCTCACAAGCCGAGGCAACGTAACGAGTTACGTGCTCGGCGATCGCTGCCCGCTCGGAATCGCGTAATTCTAGAGGCGTGTATCGATTACGAATCGACCTTTCCATACGCGATTCGCGACTCTTCGCTCGCAACCTCGAACTTGATACGGCGAATCGGTTTCGAGAGAGGAGAACGCGACGAGTAGGCACCGAGACGCGCGATACCGGTGAACGCGCGCGACCTTCGCGGAATTCGCCGAGCTCCCCGGATCCTAAATTCCAGCCGGTAGATAAATTTTCGGCTGACCTTTCTCGCCGCGAACCGAGGAGGCATCTCCCGAGCCTCGAGACCGCTCGTTCGCTCCAACGTTTCGGCTAATAGAGCCTCCGGTTCTCTCTAAATCTCCGTTCCTCTTTCGCGACGCAACTGAAACTGGTTTTCGAGGTTGCAAACGCGATCCCGGGGGCCGCGCGCCCAACGAAACGAAAGGAAACGCGCAACGTCCGACGTCCTCCGCGCGTTCTCGCCTCGCAAATTTGCCAATTCGTAATCTCGCTTGTTATTCGGTTTCCGAGACGGGCGTGACGCCGATAAACGATAAATCGGCCGAGACGATCGCGCAATCGTCGCGACTCCGCGTCATCGTCGTTCGGTGGGTGCGAGGTAAAAACGATCAGGGTGTATCGCGATGGAAGGTGGACCCCGAGCGATAACTGTGTCGAGTACGCTCGCTCCGAGAGGCTCTCCCCGCGGCTCTCGAGCCCCTCGACGATAAAGCTTACTTGCACTTTCGTGGGTCTGTTAACGCGACAACCAAATACGGCTTTCGGTGCGAACACGCTGGAGGTCGCGGATACCGAGGGTGGGGCGATATACTAACCGAACGGGTAGACAGAGAGAGCGAGGGAGAGAGAAGGAGAGCGACGGTAACGATAGCGAGAGCGAACCGGCCGGTGAACAGGGGACCGTGCGCACCGCGCAACGTTGTCGAAAAAATCGAGGAAAAGCGTGGAAAAACGTGTCAAAAGGGCAAAGATCACGAGGAAACGCGGATGAAGAGGAACGATCGGGAGGAAGAGAAACAAGGACGGAAGCGTGTGTTTTAAGCGGTCGGGATCGATGATCCAGGGGGTCTGGAAACCGCGACGGGACGACAGGCGAGATAACGAGGGGTAAACGCGCGAGAGCAGCATGGCGGGTGAGCGGGAATAATTGGCATTCCGTTTAAACGGGGTGGACGCGGCGCGGAACTGGATTACGACGGTGGTCGCGGTAATTTGGCAGGAAAACACGCGAGTCGTTCCGCTTCGGGGTACCACGCGCGCGCTTTCCTCGCGTTCGGGTGCGCGGTACGCTTTTCTGGGAAGGAACGACGGGAATTCAGAAGCAAGGGGAAGCGAGAGAGGGTGGGCGCGAGCTGCCGTCTGGCCGGCGATAATAATCGTCACGCGTGAAGGATGACGCGCCGTCGCGGGGTTTCGACGACGCTGGAAACGGCGAAACGAGGGTACCGAGACGGATCGACTGGCTACACGACCGATTCGGGCCAGAGAATAGGTCGATCGGACCAAATTAAGAAATTCCAGGTACGCGTTACGGGCACATAAGCGCGGACTCATACGTGATTGTGCGCGGCGTGTCTCGCGAAGCCGGTTTGTCATAGAGCTCGGGCGGCCTGCAATTATTACGCAATCTCCGTATTCGATGAAAACGACTTTCTTCTTATTCGCTCGCCGTTGAAACCGCCGTGCGTCTATCTCTAACCTATCTGTACACCGGCGATACTCGTCGCGGCGCGGTATTTTCGCTGATCGCGCCGACACCTCTCGAGCGTCACTCGTCCCATTGATAGCTCGATTCTTACGTCGACTCCAGCGGCCCCCCCCCCCCCCCCCCCCCGCCGATTGTCTTACGTTTCGGAGATCGGATTTCAGGCTATTACGAACAGCTTTCCTCGCGCGCTGCCAACCTAAGGGGGACGAAAAGAAAGGGAAAGGAGAGGACAGACAGGGAAAGAAAAGGAACGACACGCCAGACCACTACTATCGCTACTAGACTTGGCCTCCTCGAAGGGGATTCGAGGAAACGGCGGTTTAAACGGACCGACGAAAACAAAAGGGGGAACGGGGACGATGGTAATCTTGAATGAACCCTGGCGATAATATCGGTACACGCATTTCTCGTTTGCTGAATCGGTCGCTTAACCGTTCGGGCCCGATATGCCGTTTCGTGATTACCAACAACGCGCCACTCGTTAATGGAAGGGGCGACCGAGAGTGACAGAGAATGGAAGGATGGAGCGAGCAAGCACGCGCGTGGAGCGAGAGAGAGGAGGATAGCTGGAACGAAACGCGAGGGATAGACGCAGAGGTAGAAGAGCAGGGAGGTGCTTCACGGAACGAAGCGTGACTCACGGAACGCCTCGTGTTTTGCTCATGGGCCAACGGGTTTGCCGAAATTTTTCATCCGATACCTATGTACACCGCACTCGAAACGGACCAATGATCGCGAGCGTGCACCCGACCGATCCAACTGCCTCCTGTCACGTGTCCAAGACGAAAACAACGAGGAGAAACACCCGCGAGAGTCCGTTCCACCGACGATCTCACTTTTACTTACGCCGCGATTGCCGATCTCCGGTATACGTCGCGAAAATGCGTAGGAGAGCGGTCGAAACGGCCGTTCGTTGATTCCTCACTCAACGATCGCTTCGCGGTCGTTTGACGGTCGTTCCGCGATCGTTTCGCGGACGTTCGCGCGCAAACAATCACACCGTGGATAAGATTGGAACAAGTGACAGAGCACGAATGACTAACCGAACGAAGGATCGTCGGTTGCTCGGTTCGTTAGTCCGGCCGTCCGACCCAAACCGACCGACCGCTGCTACTCGAGACGTGGCACTGGAATTCCTGGTAGAACGTACCGCACGACAACGTTGACGAAGTCGACGCGCGTATCCGGAACCCCGCCGTAACACGGCCAGGTAGCTGTAGGCCGTACGACGAGGACGGAGAGACTCGCGGCGAGAGGAACGCGCGCGCGGAGAAACGGTCGAACGGAAAAAGACGGAAAGGTGGACCGAGAAGGATGAATGGGCCGAGGAAAGAGGAGCAACGGGCGGATAAGGAACAGCGCGACGAACGCAGGGAGGGACCGAAACGAGCGAGAGGGGAGCAACGACGGGGGGACGCGTGAAGGGAGAGA